GCTCTTGGAAGGGATGCCAGGTGCCCCTCCCCCAGCCCCCGCCTCCAGAACAACAAAGGACAGCTCTGAAGAAAGAGAAACCCAAACAGGTCCCCAGTCAGTCCCTCTGTCTTCAGCTTGGACGCCCTCGGTGGGGGAGAGTGGTGCCAGGCACCACACCGGGCAGGGTCGCGCCCAGCTCGTGGGGTCTGACCCCCTGCGGGGACCGAAATTCCCTGGAAGGCCTTTGCCCCTGTTCAGGGCTATTGGCGACCACAGGCGTCGATCTAGAAACAGGAACTGGGCAAATGGGTTGCCCAACGCGGGTCTGCTCACAAGAAATGGGCTGGGAGAAGGGACCACCTCCACTCGGCTGTCCAGGCCCTGCACGAAGCGAGATGTGCCCTCGTGCGTTGCCTCTCACGGCAGCCTACGGGGAGGGCACTGCTCTCACTTTGGGCAGCAGAAGCAGAGCAGTGGAGCCTCCTGTGCTCAGAGGGCACGTCCCCCTGGGAGGAGCCACATGTGGAAAGAGCGCCTCTCGCCTCCAGGAGGCCGGAAGGACCGGACGGACCCATGTGAGTACAGCCGCCCCCGTCCACGCCTTGATTCATTCCGCCCAATCTCAGCAAGGCCCCCAGCACTGTGGCGCCACTGGGGACAAGGCGGCCCCAGGGGTCCTGACCCCCCCAGCATGTACCTGCTGCCCCCAACTCCATGGGCGCGGGTGTGTGGAGCAGGTTCCCACGAGAGCCCCAGACCCACCAGCCCTGTGCCCTGGGGGGCAGGCCCAGCTTCCTTGCAGGGAAACCGGGACTCAGAGCCTTCCTGGCTGTTGCAGGCCTGTTAGACGAGGGTGCCAGCGCATGCGACAGGTGGCCATGTCCTTCCCACTCAGATGCGCCATGCTGGGCAGCTGGGCCTGGGCTGGGGAGGGACAGCTGCGGGGTGGCGGGGCTGTGCTCACGTGCTGGTCACTTTCCCGATGGATCTGGCACAGACAGTCAATCGTCCTGGTCCCTGCATTTGCCTCTGTTTGGTTTCTAATGGCCCTTCTCCAACCGTATGACAATTGACCTCTTTTTGTTGATTTCCAGAGAATCCTGGTTTAAAAAAAAAAACAAAAAAACAACAGTCTAGGAAACTTGCACATATCCCAAACTAAAGTGATCTGTTATTTCCAAATTTGTTATTTGTAACTGTGCCCCCCCCCCCGAGCTTTTCTGGAGGGGCTGCAGGGCTGCAGGGTTCCAGGCCACTCTGGCCTGGACAGCGTGGAGCTGGACACTTAACATTCTTCTTTAATTATGGACTTGAAACAAACATCCGTGGACGCCAGGTCCAATGGTTGGTGGGGACGAAAGTGCATGGCTCTGGGGAGAAGCACCCCCCCTTGGGCACTGCTCAGCACATGGAGATAAAAGTGACGGATGGGCCTGTCATCGCCCTTCGAGGGAGGACAGGGCTAGAGAGGGCTTCATTCTGGCAGTTTCCTTGTTTACAGAAAAGGGAAGGAGAGTGTTTTGTAACTTCTTTGAAAAGCTACTAGGAATCTTGGCCTCTCCTGCAGCCCACGAGTGGTGCTGGCGAGAGACCCCATGAAGACCCTCACTGGCCTGCCCTGGCCTGGGGGCTGCCCGCTGGAGCTGGGGGGCAGGTGCAGGGGCAGGGGCAGGCCCTGGAGGGATGACGAGGCCTCACCCAGCCATCAGGCTCTGGTCTGCAGGCAGCATCCCTCCTCTGCCCTGCACTCCTGCTCCAGCCCATCACATGGCACCCCAGGCTCTGCAGTGCAGGCTTCTCCCTTGTCCCTGCTCCATCCTGCAGCCCCAGCTCAGCTCTGCACCCCCCTTCACAGCCGGCACCCCACCACTCAATAGCCATTATGGACAAACTGTGCCCCTCACCCCAAATTCCCAGGGCAGAATTTCAGAGTTTAACGTCCCGTGCAGCAGTGTTGGGAGACAGGTCTTTGAAGAGGCGAGTGAGGGGGATGAGGCCACTAGGGCGGGCCCTCATCTCAGGGGACGGGGCCCTTGGAAGAGGAGACGAGACAGACACACAGGGGGATGGCCCTGCAGGATGTGGGGGGCTGATGGCCACCTACAGGCCAGGGAGAGGAACCAGCCTGAGCTCAGACTGGTGGCCTCTGAGAAGCCTGCCCGAGTCATGGAGAATCGGTGGCCTGATGGTCCGACTGTCTCACGCCCGCAGGCTGCGGCCTTTCCGCTGCATGGTGCCACCTCTCCACGACCACCTAGCCCACTCGTTCCCAGTCCACCGGTTTTTATGGAGGTGATAGACACGCACTACGCAGTTCACCACCTTAACCACTGTAAGTGGGCAGCTTGGTGGCATTGGCACATTCTCAGCGTGGTGTGACCAACCGACACCTTGCTCTATTCCAGAAACTTTGCCTCACCGCAAAGGAAGTCTTGTCCCCAGGAAGCCGTCACTTCCCACTTCCCCTCCCCCAATCCCTGCCACCCCACAGTCTGGTCTATTCCGCACACCTCACGTGAAGGCAACACGCACTCTTTGTGCCTGGCTTCTCTTGCTCACGGTGCTTCTGGAGCACACACTCACTACAGTGCATGCCCAGGGTCCTTTTCAGGGCAGAACAGTATATTGGTGTGCGAACCCCCAGTTTGTGTGGCTCCTTTCAGCAGCAGGTGTGGGGAGGGGGGGAGGGGGGCCGGTGGGCTGCTGGCGCCCTCTGGTGGCTGTGAACTGCTGCGCGGTGAACACTCCTGGGCGATGCGCGCTGACACCTGTTCGGAGTTCCTCCCAGCACAGACCCAGGAGCAGGGCTGCGAGGAAATGCGAGGGTGACCTCGCCGCATGGGGTCGTGGCAACAGCTGCACAACAATGTGAACTTATAAAAAGTCATTGGATGCACATTTAGATTGAGTTAACTTTACAGCATGTACACCAAAACAATGAAAGACATCCTTTCACGAATGATGGTTTTATCACATGGGTGTGCCACACTGTACTAAACTAGTGAACAGGTAGGTACGGGGTGACTATTTCACTATTTTAAAGGCTTCAATCACGATCTTCATTCACAAAGCTTGTACTCAGGCCCATGTGTCAGTGACTCTTTAGGTGAACATCAGCAACAGGCCCCGTGACACGCTGACCGTCACGCCAGCCCCTGCTGCCCAGTTACGCGCCTTCCCTTCCATGGGAAAGGTTCAAGGGCACACACCCGTGAAGGCCAAAACGGCCAGTGGAGCCAGGGCCAGGACACACACATGTTAAAAATCGAGGCATCGGAATGGCACTAAAACAGACAGTGAGCCTTGGCCGGCCTTGGCGCAGTTGAAGGCATGCAGTTGTTGTGGGAACTATAAAAATAAAAGAGGGGGATGAAGCCCGTCCCCTGAGTTCCTGGAAAAGCTTCCTTCCAAGGTCATCAGATTGGGTGGCCCGGAACTTCGATTCCTAAAGCAAACAAAGGAGCTGTCCAGTGTTCGCAGGGTCAAGACAGGACCTGTCCCTTCTGTGACCCCGATGTCACAGAGCGTGAGGTCTTCCCTCATCTCCCCAAGGAATGGTCTCAGGTATTGCGGGGCCGTGTTTACACCAAACATCTCAGAGGAGGCGACACCCTAGGACTCTGGGTGGGCGCTTGGGAGATAGAACAGCTGAGGGGCAGGCCGAGCTCAGCAAAAGTCCCTGTGCGACGAGCCTCACCTCCAGTGCCCTCCTGGGCAGCGCGTGGGGTCCTTTCCTCCCCGCGTTGCCCTCTGTGGGCTGGGGACAGACGGGGGCGCTGGGGTCCCACAGCCAGCCCTTCCTGAGGCTGGCGTGGGTTGGGGGGCAGACCGCTTTGCAGCAGCGCCCCCTGCGGGTGTCACCCGCGAGGGTTGGGGACGCGACAGTGACCAAAGAGCCCGGGATCCGGCCCCCGGCCCCGCGCGCCCACTGCCGGGCGGTCCTTAGGCAAAGGGCATTAGCCCTGGGGCCGCGTCTGAAAATTCACGAAAAGGGAAACTCCAATCGGAGCGGCACAACGGCTATTGCGCTGCCATTTCCGGTATTTCTTGTCTCCACCAGTGCGTTCGTCTTCGGCAGCGTGGCGCAGCGAAGACGCGATGGGGCAGGAACGCACGCCCACTCCCTCGGGGAACAGTGGGGCGGGCGCGCAGGGCCGCGTGGGGCCTCCAAGAGTCCCGAGAGCGCGGTTCCCGCAGCGAAACGAGCCTGAGCGGCCCCAGTCCCCTGAGCGCCTGGCAGTTCGGCGCCTCGCGGCTGTAAGGCGGGCGGCCGCCAGGGGGCGGCGCTGCATGCCCTCTCCGCTGCACTGCGCACGCGCCTGGGGCCGAGCCAAGGGCTCCGCAGGGACCTTCTGTCAATAGGGCCAAGGGCGGAAGGAGCGACGGGCCCATGGATGGTGAGCCGCCTGGAGACGCAGGGCCATGAGGAGGACACAGGGGTGGTGTCCACCAGGAAAGAAATACCGTAAAACCAAAACGAGGGGCTCCTGTGAAGAGCCAACTCTGCATTGTGTCCCAGAGTGTCATAATCTGCAGGTGGGCGTGGGCCACCTGCTGTCACCGCCGCCAAGCTCGTGCCAGCAGCTAAGCCCTAAACTGCAGGAGTTGCCAATGCGCTCACGATGACAGAAGCCAGCCCCAGGCTCTGCGGAGGCTGTGTATGGCTGTCATCTGCGCCCCAGGGGACCGGTGTGGGCATGTCCCAGCCCAGGTGACAGAGATCCGAGCTCCCCATGCCCCCGGGGAGATTCTGGGAGAGGTGCAGGCTGGCAGCACAGGGCCACTTGCACCTGAACTCTAGCCCGCCACAGGTGCTGGCATGGACTCGGCACACGGGTGGTAGCCAACTGCCATCTGCTTCATTGTCCCCACGGACATTGCCTTGCCAGGATCCCGTGTCAGGATTCTGACAGCGCAGGCTCCCCAGACACATGGTCACACAACACACTGACACACACACACCTGCGCACACCCTCAGGCCTTAGAGCCAACAGGAGAAGCAGACGCCTTGACGAGGGTTGTGGAGGTTGACACTTTATTATATGCTCTGAACAGAGATGGTGTTGGAAGAGCAGACAGCGACTATACAAAGAGCTTATAGCACATTCATTTATACACTGGGTATGCTCTTTACAACATATGGGAGGCGAAAATGCCCACTGGCAGTTAAGGCAGATCAGGAGACACGAGGCTGTCTCGACGCTGAAGATACACAGGGAGAGGCTTACAGGTGAGCACTGGAGGGACATCATAGGGAACTGAGGGCCGAAAGGGACCCTGGCTGTGACACTTACGGGCACACCTCTGGTGAGAGCCCAGGCCCATGCCTCGTGCCCAGGGTGCCCAGAGACCAGGAGCCTGGGGGTGGGTCTGCCCTTGCGTGGAGCCAGGTGGGCGGTGGGGCTCACCCACAGCCTGGCGCCAAGGTCTCAGGGATGTGGTCCTGTGTAATGCGTGTGTAACACGCAAAGAGCCCTGTCATTCCAGCTGGTCAGAAGCCAGGTGCTGGCTTCCTCGGGAGCCATCTGTTTGGGGCAAACCTCCAGGGCCCTCAGGCGCTGGGAGGACATGCTGCTGCTGGGTGCCCGGCTCCTCTGCATCCAGGATGCGACTGCGCGGGAGACCCAGGAGTCTGAGTCCCGGGGTCATGTGTCTCAGCCCCGTGCCCACCCGCCTCCCTCTGCCTGAGAGATTCGGGGCCTGGCCTGCTCCTCGGAGTCAGACATGGGTGTGAGCCATCTCGAGACAAGGCATCTTCTGGGGACAGGCCCAACCCAGTTCCCTCCCAGATTTGGACAGTGACAGCTACATGCCTCCACAGGGACTAGGACATGGACTGAGAACCAGCTGTGTGACGGATGAGGTCCGCCTTGGGGGATGAGGTGGACATTTGGCACAGAAAGGAGGCACTTGCAACTGGAGCTGAGGGGCAGGCCCCCCGCCCCTCTTGGTTCCTGCTCCTCGCCCCACACCCAAATCTGCTTCACAAGGAGTCCATGAAGCCCACCCCACCCTGGCCCGTGGCCTGTCACTGCTGACTCTGGGGGACAGAGGAGCTGGTGCTCGGTGTCCAAAGTGGAGAACCAAAGTTCAGGATAGAGCCACTGGCTCCTCCCCAACCTGTGACCGCATCTGGGACAGGCGACAGGCCACAGCTCTGCCGCAGGCGTGCCGGCAGGTGCCACGAGGACTGTGGCTGAGGCAGGGTGAGACTGAGATGCCCTCTGCCCAGCTCAGGGAGCCGGAAGCATAGGGGACCCTCCAGGAGCCTGCAGGCGTGGATGTGACAGACCAGAGGGGAGCTCCTGGAGGTCGGTGTGTCCCACCCTTCCAGAACATTCCACTCCAGAAAGGGTGTCACCTGCAGCCTGGAGACGACACTCTGATGGTCATGGCACACAGCAGCCAGTCCACAGTGTCACCTTCTCCCCTGGTGCCTCCACACTGAGATACCCACACAGGCCACAGTGACAAATGTGATCACAACTGACTTGGCAAAAACAAAAAAGTACATGGAAATGGCATTTTACTTCCATCTTCACCCTTTCTCCTCCCAGCCGGCACACCTTTGGACCCGATGTGACTTGAGGATGGAGCACTCGCCAGGCTGGGTTGGGGCTCTCGGCCCACGGTGACACCCTGGTCCTCACAGGTCATAACGCCATTCCCTTGTCCATGCCCTGGAGTTCAGAAAGGACCTGCACAAAGCCACATTACATGTGCGTCCCTGTCCTGGGAGGGTGGTGGCCCACAGGCATCAGCCCTCGTTTCCTCGAGAGGTCCTGGGCATGGAGCTGGGTGGGTGACCTGGTGCCCACTTCTGCCCAGAAAGGGCCGGGCTGCAGACGGACATGGGCACCGTTTGTCTCAGGAAGGGCGCAGGGGGTGGTGTGGTGCTGGGGAAGCTGCAGGAGCCAGAAAGTCAGGATCACTGCAGGGACGCGGTGGGCCACCCCAGCCCTCTGGCATCTGCAGCCAGGAGGGGCTCAGATCTTCTTAGGGGAGCCGATCATGACCTTTGACACGAAGTTGACGATGGCGCTGGCAGGCTGCTCGGGGTCATGCTCTGCGAATAAGTGGCAGACGTTGTCCGAGGTGCTGCCCTGCTTCCGGGCCACGAACCCAAAGGCTCTGCAAAGAGAGGTGGTCAGAGTGTCCCGGCCCATCCAGCAAGGCTGAGAGGGCCAGAGCTCCGCTTCCCACCACCACCTCCGCTCCCTCCTCCGAGACGATCCAGGCGCAGCGCCACGCAGAGGGATACCTGCCCCCTCTTCATAGGCAGGACCCTGCGGAGGAGCACAAGAGGCGGGGCTGTGGGGCCCTATGGCTGGGCCCAGACCACAGCACTGCACCACGCCGGCAACCGTCCTGCAGAGGCTGGTGGGGTGGGGTCCTGAGCCCACTCTCCCGTGTCCTCGGGGAGTCACACCAGACGGCAGCACAGGCCACACGGGTGCCATCACCCCACTGGTGGTTCCTGTGATCCAGATTAACACACTGGCCACCCGGACGCTACCCCCCCCCCCCCACGGGCCACGTCCCTCCTCTGGGCTCCCAGCCGACTGCACTGCGGAGGCGGGAGGCAGCGGGCACAGGGACCTCTCAGAAGAACCACAGCCACAGTCTGAGCAGGCGTCCAGGAGCCTGGGCCCAGCACAACACTGCCATTGTTTGTGCCCCAGCCCCGGTGGAGGCTCCCTTCTCCCCCTCAGAGACGTGAAGGGTCTTTTTGTTGGAGTTTGGTGGCCCCCACAGCGCGGGAGGGAGTAGCCCAGGGCACTTGAGTCACCGATGGGGTCGCACATTCCACGCGGTGGGAGCGCAGCCAGCTCTGTAGCCGAGCTTGGGGCTCAGGCGGCCTCTAAGCCCTTCGTCAGAGCCCCGGACAAAGGGGCTCTGAAGCGGGACCCCCAGGAGAGGACGCTGTGACCGGACATCGCCAAGGTCAACTGCAGGCAATGGGGCCGCCCCCCTGTGGGCGTACACTCTGACTGCAGTGCCCAGGTCCCAGAGGGAAGGGCGGGAAGTCGGGTCTGTTTGTGCCTGCCGCCCCCCGAGCGCCACGTCTCCGGGCCCCCACAGTGCAGACCCAGTCCACTGGCATCGCTGAGTCACTTCCTCATGAGTACCCCTCGTGGGGTCGCACTGGCAGCTCACCTGGAGCCCACGCCGTCTGAAACCCACCTGGCGAGTTCAAGAGAGTGGAAATCATGTTAGTTTCTTTAGGAACTGAGCAGGTGGGGTTGCGCACGCGCACACACACATGCACGCACGTGCACGGGGCGGGGGGGGGGCGGGGGGCCACGCAGTCCTTACTTCCTGCCCTGCGGGTCCAGCGCGCAGAAGATGACGCTGCTCACGGGGTAGTGCCTCCGGAAGAAGAGCCTGTGGGGGATGTGGGCAGGTGACGACGGCGCATGGGGCGGCCCCCACGAGGACCAGGGTGGGAACCTGTGCAGGCGCCTCTTGGAGGCTTGCAGGCCGGCAGAGCGTGTGCCCCCCCCCCCCCCCCCCCCCCCCGCACCCGAGTGGCAGAGGTGCGAGGCCAGCAGCAAGTGTCCTTCCTGGGAGAGGCAAACCTCGGACAGAAAAGCCGCCCGGGAACCACCCGCCCTGGCCCAGACAGGAGTCCACACAGCTGCACTCACTTCCTCTGGTTGTCCGTCAGGGTGATGCCCTGGGCTGACACCTTGAAGTGCACGACCGTCGACAGGGGTGGCGGCTGCTGGGCCAGGGTGAGGCTCAGGGCCTTCTGGATGGCCTGGTGGCCGGTGAGGGACTCCATCTCCACGGAGCTCAGGTACCACACGTTGCAGGCTGCAGGGCAGGGGCTGGGGTCAGCATGTCTGCAGGGCACACGGTGGCCACCGGCGCATCGAAGGCAAGTGCTCCTTGCCCGGTTCCAAGGGTGGGGAGTGAGTGGCCCAAGTCCATGTGGATGGAGAACGGACATACCGCTGGGCCACGGGGGGGGGCTCCAGTGGCACCATGTGTCCCATGGGAGGCTGGGACACCTCCTCAGCGTCACTGTGGCCTGGGTGGAACAAGAGCCCACCTTAGACGGAGCGAAGGGAACATCCAAGGGAGCATGTGGGCTGGACCCCAAATCACGGCCCTGGCAGAACCTCTGAGTGAGCAGACACCCAGGAGCAGCCATGACTCAGGGCTGACAGACCACCCAGGGCCCCTGCCTGCAGGCCCGTGTGACATGGGTACTTTCACAGAACCGGGCGTCCACCAGGGAACCACTCTCCCTGACAACCCAGCCATGTATATTGAATCAGAAGAGCCGCCTGCACCCACTTGGTGACCTAGAGGTGTTGCTTTTGAGGAGGGACGAGGGACATACCCATGACATTGGTGGGGTGGGGGGTGAAGATGTCAGCCAAAGCGCATCACACTGGGAAAAGCTGGCAACAACTTACATCCCAAACTGGGAGAGAGGTTAACTACCCCCAAATGGAGCACTGAGCAAGCAGCCAGAGGTTACCATGGAAACCGCGGCCGTGTGGGAACTACCCGCAGTCAGAGAGAAACTCGGAATAAGAACCTTTTCTGTGCAGAGCCTCGAAGGGGGAAATGAAAGGCATGTGTGCGTGCGGACAGGCGCTGGACGGCCGCCTGGAAAGCGTAAAGCTGTTTGTGGTCACGAGAGTGAGTGTCTGAGTTTGGTTCTCGGGCAGCTGCCAGGCGGTCACAGGAGGTAAACGGAGAAAGCGCTGGTCCGGCTGCAGCGAGGTCCCCGGAGCTGGTGCCCTGTAACCCGGTGCATGCTGGTGGCCACAGGAGGTCGGGCCCGCATCTTGGCTTCCTGGTGGTGTCGCCGAGGCCTCTGATGAGCAGCAGGAGGCTGGTGTCTGGGGCCCGCCCCGAGCAGAGGAGTGCTGCCCCCAGCGAGGCCTGGACAGCTCTGTGGAGCTCACTCCCACCCACCCACCCCCGCCACCGGCAGTGCCCAGCCGGGGCTGGCCCCAATGCTCCATCCCCCGGGGGGTGCTCTCATCCATGGGGGCCAAGTGCGATGCCCGTGTGACACCATGCAGACGGTGCCATCACCCCAGCACCGGGCGGTTGGTGTGGACGAAAGTGACCCGACTATAGGGAGAGCAGTCCTCGGGCTCCCAGCCAGCCCCACCCTCTGGGACTGTGGGGTCTCGAGGCCTCGACACATAAGTCAGAGAAGAAAACAACTTGGAGCGTGGCCTCCCGGCAAGTCTGTGGTCCTGACGCTGGAGACAAGCTGGATGGACAGCCAACCAACCCCAGGGAGCCAGGCTGAACGACTCACTGACCACCTCTCAGCCGCTGACACCGTGCCCCATGGCATGCTCCAAAACCATGGCGACACTGTCACACGCATGAGGGGCCAGCAGCCGGGGTCTTCATGTGGCTCCCAGGCCCACGACTGAGTCATTCTCCCTTTCTCTCCTGTGTCTTCCTTTCTTGGCTTGAAGAATGTGTATTCATACGGAAAACACACTTCACAACGCAGGCAGTGAAGCCACAACCCTGAGCCCCATGGGCAGTCCGCCAGGAGTCTGGGGAGAAAGCCTCTTTCAGGAGTGTGCCACGGCCCTCACTGAGAGCCCCCTCCAGAACCGAGGCTATGAATGCCGACAGGAGGGCTCAGGGTCGGCACAGATCCACACCCAGGGTCAGATGGAAGGGGCCACACCGGGGAGACGCAGAAGTGGGGCCTTGTGCTCCAGGCTGCCCGACCCCTCTTGTCTTCCTGGCTCGGCCCCTGACCTCACCACGAGGAACCGGCCCAGCAGAATCCCGAGGACCGGTGCAGGTCCAGGAGGTGGAGATTCTGAGTGAATCGGGACAATGAAGGGGTTTAGTTTAAGAAAATCCCCTTAGTCTCCTGCGGGCTGGGGGGCCTAGGAGTGAGGCAGCCAGCTCCATGCCCACGGGGGAGCTTGGGGATAATGTTAGGCTCCTCGCATTGAAACAGGAATGAGCCCGGTGTGCCGAGGTCACGGGACTGAGCTCCTGCCTGTGCTGAGGGCAGATGGCCAGGGCCTCAATGTCCTGCTGCAGGGGGTGGAGGACAGAGCCATCCTCGGCCATCTCTGTCCCCATCGCCTCTGGGGATGATGCCCACCCCTTTCTGAGTGACCACCTCCAGACTGGGTCCCTCTGTGCCTGCCCGGCCAACCTCTCAGGCCTCCTGGGACACAGCTGGGCCCCTCCTCTCCGCAGCCCCGCAGTTCCAGCCCCAGTTCTGTGTCCTGATTTGCTAGCTTGTCTTGTCAGCCACGAGGGCATCGGGACAGATCCTTGGCCCCCACCTCTGCCACGTCCGACGGCGAACATCTGCCCTGCCCAAGACTCCCAAAGGGGACTCGGGTTTCCGAGTTGCCCCCTCCTGCTGCGTCCCTCATAAACTGGACCACTGGGCTGGCATCTAATGCTACCAAGTGACCAGACCTGACACTGACCAGTGATCACAGCGAGGTTGCAGGACATGGGCTGTGCACACAGAAGGCAGCAGCTCCCCTACACACCAGCGGAGAGCACATGGCCTGCACACTCGCACCCCCACACCCAGGTGTAAACCCAACGGGTCACACACAAGACCCATGTGAGGGAAACAACAAAACTGACAAAGACACCAAAGACCAAACAAGTGGGGAGAGACTCCCTGTGGCCCGGGTGCGGTCAGCCCACGTGGTCCTGGCGCAGCCCGAGAGGGTTACTGGCAGGGAGTGACCAGCAAGCGGGTCCTGAGTTTAGGAGGAGCCGGAAGGCCCTGGACAGCTGCAGGACACTGAAGGAGAGGAACGGGGCGGGGCGGGCGGGGCGGGGTGGTCGACTCCACCCGACTGTCAGACTTAGAGGAAGCTGCAGGAAGTGAGTCAGTGCAGTGATGACGAGGGGAGACACAGGGATCCCAGAACTGGACCCCCCAGAAATACAGCAGGCCGATCTCTGACAAAGATGCAGAGAGGTCTTGTCAACACGGTGCCAGATCACCGGCACCCACGCCAAGAAAGTGCATCTCGCACCCACGCCAAGACCTCATGCCCTTCTCAAAAATCAACTCAGAACGGATTGCAGACCTCAGTACAAAATGCAGTAAAACTCCTGGAAGGGGACACAGCAGAAAACCCAGAGGACCTTGGGCTCAGTGATAGATTCTTAGATACAATACCCAAGGCCCGGCCCAAAAAGAAAGAACTGGCAAACTGGGTCTCATTAAAATTGAAAATTCCTACTCTGCAAGAGACACCGTCCAGAGAAAGAAGACAGGCCACAAACCAGGAGGAAGTGTGTGCAAAGCACACATCCAATAAAGGACTTCTATCAAAAACACACAGAGAACTCTTCTAACTTAACAGTAAGAAAGCAAACCACCCAATTTTTTTAAATGGCAGACCAAAGACTTTAGTAGACACCTCACCAAGGAAGATGAAAAGCTGGCGGACAAGCCTGTGAAAAGATTCTGCACCTCGGATACCACCAGGAAAATGCACACCCCAACAACAAGGAGACCCCACAGAGCGCAGCTCAGAGCAGCCACAGCCCGATGTCCCAACCCCAAGTGACTCGGGTGGATGCGGGCGACAGGACTGTCCCTCATGGCTGGTCCCGTGCAGCCCGAGCCGCCACTTCCGAAGGCGGTCTGGAGACTCCTTAGAGAGTCGAGCAAGCTTGCACCTGGGGCCCAGCAGCCACGCTCCTCGGCATCTACCCCGATGAGCTGAAAACTGGCGTCCACACGGAACTGCACGGGGCTCTGGCCACAGCCGCCAAAACGTGGAGGCGACTGAGACTCCCCTCGGGAGGCCACAGGCGGAGACCGAGGTTGGTCCCGACGGGGCGTTACCGAGCACTGGAGAGAAATGGAAGGGCGCGCGGAGGAGCCCTGTACGAGGCTGGTGAAGTGGAAGGAGCCGTTGGGAAGGCCACGCATGGCGGGACCCCCGCCCCACGCTGCCCCGGGAAGGCCGCACGGCGGGCAGCAGCGAGGTCAGCCTTTCCCAGGGCTGAGGGAGGGGCTGCTGCCGACACCGCAGTGGGGGTCCCGCCATTACACTTCTGTCCTGACCAGGAGGGACCCTGGCAGAAACTTTGGGTTCTGGGTGACAGTGACCTGCCAGTGCAGGTTCGTGAACTGTGACAGACGTCCTGCCCTGGGGGGGTGTTGGTGGGCGGGAGGAGGGGGTGCATCTGGGGCCACCAGGTACAGGGGAACTCAGTGATTTCTGCTCAGGTTTGCTGTGAGTCTAAAACTGCTCCATAAATAAAGACTGTCAGTAAAAAAATAAGTGCTCGGGAGAGCCGGCATATGGATGGGGGCACACTGACCAGAGGACTCATGGAGTCATGTCTTGTGACCACTCACACCGACGCCACCGGGGCAGGTCCCCCCATCCTGTCTCACTCCGTCCCCCCAAACCACACACTGGACTCGACACATCTCCCCAAACTTGGTCTTGTTTGTGTCAGAGGGGTGTCGGCAGCCGGGGGCGCTGCCCTCCCACCAGCGGTGCTGGAAAGAGGCGTCTCCGAACACAGAAGGCAAGGCTGGGGGGGTGCGGCCCTGACCCCGCCTCCGACAGCGACTGGAGCGAGGATGAGGAACTGAGCGGGACTGACCTGCCCCCTGCTTCAGCAGCTCGGCTGCGGAGTTGGCCGCCGTCTGGGGAGAGCTCTCCACCGCTTCCTCCAGTGGATCTGCAGGAAAGAAAGCAGGGAGACACTCGGCTGAGGACGGCGTCCGGAGAACCTTCCAACCACGGGAGGCGCTGCTGCCCGACTCCCAGACGGCGACACGCTTCGCAGTTGGGGCTTCCTCTGGGCAGTGAGGGTCCTGCCCAGAGACGCGCCCACCCCTTTCTGAGAGAGAGCTGGGAGGACACGGCCAGTCAGAGTCCTCCGGACCTCTGAGTGGTGAACCCCGGTGACGTGACTGTGATGGAGGTTAGCGACGGTGACCGGGACTGGGCTGACGCGACATTCTGGAACAGAGGGCACCGGGACCCTTGGCTGGGCAGGGCCCCAGTCCACCGCCCTGTCACGCTGCGGGCGTGCCCATTCTCCATGGTCTGTTCCAGGCGCCTTCAAATAGACCTGAAGGCAGCGAGGAGGCTCCCGCAGCAACCGAGCTCAGTGGCATCAGCGCTTCACGGACTCCGCAGAATCACAAAGATGAGTGTTGAGGACCCCGAGGGCCTCTTGGCACCCGCACCTTATTTGTTTGGGCTACAGGACCCCTCGAGAAGCCCAGGGTGGGACACCGTGGTCAAGGACGTGGGTGCAGCGAGGCCACCTCCCTGGTCCCTGACTCGGGCCCATTGGTCAGCACCCTTCAGGGGTCGGCACCAGTCAGGCACCACCCACGGAGTGCAGGGAGGAAGCGCCTCCTGCCCGGCTTCCCCGCCTGACCTTGGCAGAGCTGACCCCGCATGCCTGACACACCACAGGGGAGGCCCCTCCAAGCACCAGGCTGTCCCGGGGACCCAGCCGTGTACCTCTGTCGGGAATGAGCAGCTTGCAGGGCAAGGCCAAGGGCGTGATGGAATGCTGGCACACCAGGGCTGTCAGGCTCCCTGAAGAACGCAAGCGCGGAGAAGGGTTAGCAGGACCCTGTAGAAGGTGTTGCCCGGCAGGTGGGCCAGCTAGGGGGCCACGCTAAGGAAGATCCCGGTCTTCCCGGCAGCTAACACGCTGCGCCGTTGGGGGACTGTGCAAAACCTTGGCAGCGCTAGGGAGGGCTGGGGAGTGGTGCTGCGATGGCCCCCAGCAGACACCCGTCATCACTGCTCTGTGCGAGGGAACCTCAGCCTGTGTTGTGGATGGCCTCGCCTGGGGCGTCCTGTGCAGGGACGGAGGCCGCGTGGCCCTTGTACCTGTGGGGCAGCCGCCCTCACTGCTCCTCCTGCCCCTAGCCCGGTGCTTTTCAGGAGGGTGTCCTGTCTAGGTCAGGTTAGCTCAGGGGCATCTCGGGGACCGAAGGATCCAGCTGGGCGGGAAGCATGGCTGGGCGGGAAGCACGCCGGCCCCGCCTTCGGTCCCGCCCCAGGGCCCCGCCTGCACAGGGCACCGACAGCCACTTACCAAAGTAGGGCTCGTTAGAGCAGCCTTTAAGCCGCACGCCCTTCGAGGTGCACTCGATCAGGAAGTGCCGGACCAGCTCGCTGGCCAGGTCTCCCCCTGTAGTTGGATGGTTAATGGAAAAAAAAAAAGTTTTAAAAGCAGAGCATGAGGGTGGGCGGGAGCCAGTGTGGCAGGCGGTGCAAGCAGAGGCCACTCTTCGTGGAGGCAACCATGTCTGCATAGGCTGCATGGGAGCCAGGCTGCAGGCAGGCACAGCCCTCCCCTCGAGAAGGGACAACACGGTGACAGCTGCCGGCCAGGCTCACGTTAGCCGGGCTGCGGGGACCAGCCTTGTGCACACAGCGAGCCCTTCAGGTAAGACAAGAGGGACGTGGGAGGCCAGCATAAGGGCGTGGTCACCGTGAGGCCAGAGGGGGACCAGCATGCCGGCAGCACTGTCCCCACCCTGGACAGCGAGAGGGTCGCCCAGTCGAAGCAGCGAAGATGGGACACTTACACGAAGTTAACGTTCTAAACAAGGACCATGCTCAGTGATACACAGCCAGGAAAGAACACCAGTGAGCACTGCTCTGAGCTGCCCCCCTCCCCCTAGGCAGGCACAGAACCAAGAGGCATGGGGTGGGCGGGCAGCCCCCCTGGGCACCCACCTTTCTTGTTCAGCTGTAGGACGGAAGGCGGTGGGGTGGCCACCTTCATGGCCAGGCCATAGGCGCCTCGGAAGGAGTGGCTGTCGCGGACGATGAAGGATCCAGGCTCCTTGTCCTTCAACATGGCGATGGCTGGAGGGGCGGAGAGAAGAGAGGGCCCGCTGGGCACAAAGGAGTTCCCACGATGGGCCTGACAAAGGGCCCACCTCCTCTGCACACTGGGCCAGTTGTGACGCAGGTCCCCGGGGCTTCAAGTCACAACTGTGTTCCACCTCCGTGGAGAGAAGGCCTGTCCTTGGGCCCAGGGCTTTGGGGAAGGCCAGTCTCCCCCCAGGTCCTGTCCCCAGAAACTGGGTGGCCCAGGAGTGAGGCTGCCAGCACTATGCCAGTGGGGGGAGTTTGGGGACAACGTTAGACTCTTTGTATTGAATGAGCTGGTGAGCCGGGTGTGCTGAGGTCGTGGGACTGAGCTCCTGCCTGTGCTGAGGGCGATGGGCAGGGGCCTCAGTGTCCTGCTGCAGGGGGTGGAGGACAGAGCCATCTTTGGCCACCCCCTCCCCATTGCCTCTAGGGACGGTGGGACAGGCAAAGTCCCCCGGGAGTGCCGCTGGGACAGCTGTATCCAGTTCTGCTCGACTGCAGCCTGTTCCCTTAGAAGTGCCCCAGGAAATACTGTCCCCCTGTGACAGGGGATAGATGATGTTCCAAGAGAGACTTGGGAGTTTCTCTCCCATGTCTTCCTAAAATGTCACTGTCTCTCTGATAGGAAAGGCACATCCCAGCAGTTAAGTCACATCCAAGCCCAAGCCCACAGGCCGCGCTCTGCCACATAGTGACACAGGCAGGCCTGCAGGACATGTGTCTGTGTGGCCTCATCCTCACAGAGTGTCTAGCAAGTGACGCTTTAAGTTCAGCAGGAAAGACTGCTGCCCAGGTCACAGAGCAGCTGTCCAGAGAGATGCCCCACCCAAAGGAACCTCTCAGCTATGCACAAGGTGGCAGACGGCTGAGGGGCTCCCCCGGGCGCTGGCTCCCCCACCCATGGCGTCGGGTGAGCGGTCCCCACCCCAGTGGGACACCTGCCTGCGGCCACCCCTGCCCACTTCCCACCAGCCGTGGATGTCTCAGCAGAGGAGGGGCAGCCTGGCCAGCCCAGCCCTCGTTCTGCAAGGCTGCCCTGGAGGAAGGTGGGGTTCACAAAGAAACATCTAGAACATGGTGTTTGACTAGCATGTGTCACAGTCGGTGCTGAGGGCCGCTGGCCGGGCGGTGGGGGTCCTCCCCCTCGGGGCGGGAGGGGTGGGCCTGAAGCCCAGGATCAGCAGTGCTCACTCGGCCACAAAGGCTGATTCAGGCGGCAAGAGGTCCCAGGGCTGTGGGCCACCCCTGTGTTAAGTGACAACAGTGTCATTGAGCCCGTGGGAGACAAGAACATTCTTGTCGAGTTTATCACTAGCTTGACCGAACAGAGAGTTCTAGCCAGGAAGCTGGCAGAGCTGTTTGCAGCCACCTGCCTCGGTGCGCAAGCATCTCTGGGAACCTGAGTTTGAGACCAAGGCACAGAGGGGCCCAGTGTGGCCCGGGGGTGTCGGTGGCTGGGGCACCTGCCCTCACCGAGCTAAGCTGTGACACCCCCTTCTCAGCCGCCACCAGAAAGCCCTCAAGGAACTTAATTTCGGGTGCCTTAGCTGCATCTCCCAGGCGCTGGGCCAAACGCCATCCTCTGAAGGACACCTGGGAAAGAGCCCCCATGAGGCTGAGTCACAGCCTCTCTCGGAAGAACAGGCCCCGTGAGTCAGGCCAGCAGGTTGTGGGGACCACGAGTCCTCCTGAAGGGATGGCTACGGGTCAGGTAGGGGGACCCCGTCTCAGCCTCTTTGTGGACTCCTTGTTTGCTCATGTTCCCGTAAAAAGTGACACGTGACTGAGCTGGCTGAAGCCATGGGTGACCTCACTTCCCCAGGTGCCTGAGGCCCCCCCCAGACACCGGCAGCATGCGTGCGAGACAGTCAGCTCCTTCACGCAGGCGTCCGAGCGTGGTGATGCTGGGAGACCTCCGTCCTTCCTCCTGACCCCCGGCCCTGGACACATGCTGGGGGGGCATCTCCTGCCACTGCCTGCAGCTGTGACTGGCCAGGTCTCGGGCTGGGCTGGGGGGAGTCCCTGGGAACCACGCCCTGCATGCTGGAAGGAGCACGGCGGTGCCTGTTCCAGGCGCCCCTTCGGATGCAGCTTCGGCCCCGAGGACCCAGCTTTGGAGCAGCACCCCAGGCGTGTAACGGGGTGCAGGCCTGCTCTGCGTCCTCCACCCCAGGCATGGCCCCCACGGCCTCCTGGCCCCACCTGCCACGCACCTTGCTCTCGGGAGATGTCCGCCTTGTACCAGAACTTGGAGGTGTCCTGCACGAAGCTCACCGACATGTGCTTGTCACCCAGGTCACCTGCTGACAGTAATTAGAACCGTTGCTGTGATGAGCGCCGTTTATCATGAACTTACTGCCCAGGGGACTGAGGGTTGGAGGCCCCCCGGAGCACGAACGGGGTGTCTGGGGAAGGACACTCTTTGGCAGGGGGTGGGGGGCACGAGACAGAGCAGCGCGGCACCCAGAGGGGGCTCTGCGGGCGCTCTGGCACCATAGCATCAGACGGCACAGAGCGAGGCTGCGCTTCACGGTGTCAGGACCTCCCTCTTGTAACGTGGAAAGGTTCCAGTTTCGAGTGAAGTCGTTTAGCTCACAAAACAAAAGTATTTCTGGGGGCACTGGTGCAGAGCGAATGGAGAAACTCCGATGTGGGCAGACGGAAGCCGCAGCAGGGGAGGGGCTGGGTGGGTGGCTCGGGCCGGGAGGTGGGAAAGCCTGAGACCCTGGGACAGGTCTCAGGGCCATGCCCCACAGCAGAAAAGGTCTTGCTGCCTCCCAGGCCCCGTGTGACCCCAGGGGTCCCTCCCAAGTGCCTGAGGGTACACAGCCCCCCCCCACCCCAGGGAGACACACGTACCCAGACAGAGGGCCGGGGCCTCGGGCGGCCGGGAGAAGTCCGGGAGCACGCTGGGGAAGGGGATGCTCACGGTGCTCCCGCTGCGGGGGCTGGAGAAGCCGCTGGAGGAGGGTGAGGCGGAGCCGCAGGAGCGGTCCCCTTCGGACGCCCGCTTCTTCTCGGGAAGGGGGGGCTGCCCGGGGAGGGGCAGGCCCAGGCCCTGCAGGACGGGGCTGTGGTGGCCGCTGTGCCCGGGCGATGCCAGGAGAAAGCCGTGTGGCAGATAGCCATTGTCAACAGCCGCCGTGGCTGCCCGCAGGGTGGTGAGGGGCTGGGGTGCTCCCTGGGAGCCTGCCGGCGGGGCCCCTGGGACTTCCCCAGGGGGCAGGCTAGTTCCCACAGAGCTTCCCACAGGGGCCGTGCTGAAGCCCAGGAAGGCCTGGCTGCTCGGGGGGCGCAGAGCTTCTGGGGGCTCTGCCAGTGACAGCGAGTGGCTGTGGAGAGAGGCCTGGAGCTCGGCAGGTGGGAGAAGCGGCCGCCCGGGGCTGGGGCCATCCTGGAACTCGCCGGTGCTGAGCAGGCTTCCTGGGGACCGGCTGCCCCCTAGCAGGGCCAGCGTGGGCTTGGGGCCGGTGTCCGCCCACTGGGGCTCGGCAGATGGGGGGCTGTTCGGGAGACACACCAGTCAGAGCGGACCCGAGGCAGCATGTGAGTGAAACACAGCCCAGGCCAGGGGTGCCCCCTCCCAGCAACAGGACCCTGCCCACCTGTCCTTCTTCGAGCCGGGGCTGCTGCTGCTGGCGCAGGACATGAATGCCCGTGGGAAGGGTGGTGCCGAGGGTCTGGGCCCCACGGGGCTCTCTGACATGCCCACGGAGTGACCGAGGGCCTCGGGGCAGACTCGGGGTTCTGCAGCAGGACAGGAGAACAGAGGGACCCGGTCACTGCCCTCATCTGTGAGGAATGGTGTCACTTCTTGCTGCTGATGCAGGTGCCCCGGCTGCACCTGCTGTAGCTTCCACACTCAGGTGCCTGACATCGGCCAGTCGGCAACTCTCAACACGGAAGTGTGAGCTCCTCTCCTCTGTGGCAGCCGGGGCGGGCCTGTGTCCCCAAAGGAGGCACGTCACTCTGGCAGCTGTGGGCGCTGGCTGGGAGGGCACATAGCCCTCCTCTGTGCCTGAGTCGGTCACCTGGCTCACACCCGAGGCCCGTGCTTCCTGGGCACACCTGCCACCTCCAGTGTGGCCCTGCCCACCAGTGTTCTCACCTGAGAGGTGCAGACCACCCTGCTTGGCCCCACCATGCAGGGGATGAGAGCGAGGGCCTTGGACACCCGCCCGTGGGATGCCCAGTCCCCAAGCTCCACGGAGTTTCGTATGCTTCCCCGACTAGAGGCTCGTGCCCTGGCCCAGTGACTGCGTGGTTTCTGGGTGTTTTGCAGCCTGCCTTTTTTTAAAAGTAAGCTTTGAGGGTGGACAGACCTACCACGGTCAAGCGAATACCATTGGAGGTGGTTCTGTGATAAAGCAAGGGCAGACCAACTGGTAGAAGTGGGATGTTAAGGAAACTCTGTGTCGCTCAGGAGCCTGGGTCCTGGGACAGGGATGGCCCAGTGAATGGCACGGCTGTGGCTCCCCAGCCACAGACTGAGCCCCTGGGGAGCCCGAAGAATGCTGGACACTCAGAGCCCCAATATCAGGCTGTGGTCATCCCATAGTTCTCGGGAGATCAAAGCCGGGGTTCAGAGCTACTAAGGCAGCCAGGACTTGAAGGGCCCAGGACTCGGAGAACAGGAGTAAGGGAAGGGGGTGAAACACCAGGGCACTGTCCTGGAGGTGTCTGACTCCTAAACTCAGAGGAGATGAGCAAGGCTGGGAACTAGGAACTCGGTGCTGCTGAGGGGCCAGAGGCAAGCCTGGGTTTGGGTGCCCATCGGGGGGGCTGGGATGAACCGCAGGAGCTCAGGAGCTCGCCTAGGGGGAGGGGCCCCGCAGCACTGCCAGGGTCCAGGTGAGGCCCCGCAGGGCCCAGAGCAGGTCAGCCCTGAAGGGCCTAAATCTGCCTGAGAGAACACCATGTTCTCCCTGGGGGCACACTCCTCTAGGACCTGCCTCCATCTATCCCTCCGTCTATCTGCTTTCCTATCTAACACCCGCCTATCATTTATCTACGTGTCTCCACCCACGGTCCATCCATTCTTCCATCCTTGTGCAAAGGCCTCTGCCCCTCTCCCCTTCCATGGAGCCCCTGACGCCCCCCAAAGTGGGGCGGAGCCCTGCCCCTCACCCTGTCACCTGTCCCTGGAGGTGGAGACTGCAGGCTCAGGGCTCTCCGCAGCAGCTGCCAGTCCACAGCTCAGCGCCGCCCAAGCTCACAGAGGTCTGTTCTGCCCCTGGTCAGGGGCTCTGGCACTTAACCCTTCTTCCCAGAAGCAGGTAGCGGAGGCCCCGGGCACTGAGGCGGGGGCTTCCTGGCCCCTTGTCCTCAGAGATGCGGATTCCAGCCCCTGACACCCACCCAGCAGGCGTGTGGCCTCAGGGTGGGGTGGGACTGGGGTATGCCCTTCACTCTCAGAGACAGCAGACACTGGCCACTGTCCCTGCTGTGGGGACTCCACAGTCTAGATGTGTGCCTGCCTCAGAGCGGGCGGAGGGCAGGGTGGCTGTTTTTGTCACACTGGCTGTTCAGTTAAACTGGGGGGAAGTTTCTAGAAGGACGACTGTCCATGGCCTTGCAGCCTGTCCTGGGGGCCAGGCCTCTTTTCTCAGCTCTGGACCCAGCAGGAGTCCCAGGGGCGATCGCCGAGGATGAAGTTGCCAGGCTGCGAGGGGGTCTTTCAGGTGACATTTGTGGACGCTGCCTCCTGCATGAGGCTTCCACAGATCTCCACTCTGGGTGCCGCCGTGGGCACACGGGTCCTGCCCCAGGTGCAGGAGGGGTTCTGGAGTCCTCACGCACTCCCTGGGCCACACCCCCACTGGGAGGCGTGGCCTCGCCGGGGCCCAGCAGGTGCTTCTCCCAGCGCCCCCACGCAGCCCCCGCCTCCCCCACACCCACGTCCCTCCCATTCTCCTGCTCCTGCCGCCTGTGGAACTCTGACCCCATCCCTTCCTTGCTTTCCCCGGTGCCAGCTGGTGCCCTGGCCTGTGGGACAAGGGTGCCCTGTCCCTCCTGGTGGCTGGCTTCCCCTTCCTGCACTTCCTGTCCCCAGAGCAAGGGTGCAGGCGGGTCGCCGGCCACCAGGCCTATTTTTATGCTCTCGACGGAGGAGGCCTGTGGGGGCCGGATGACGGTGGCTCCGGCTGCGCACTGTTTACAGGGCTGGAGGTTGACAGGAAGAAAGGGGACCCGCGGGCTCTGGGGCCTCCCAGCCTGCTGCCCCGCCGAGGCCTGGACCTGGGCATGGGGGGCAGCCCAAGGGTAAAAACGGGGGCCAGGCCCTGACCTCAGGTTTGTCCAGGGTGTGACTTGGATCCCAGACGCAGGATCCAGAACTCACTAGCAAACGTCAGGGCATGTGACCTTTAACCAAACAAACAAAAAAGTCAACTTCGCCCTGCCTGCCCAGTGACACAAAAAAACCTTACAGAGGCATACAAATTACTCACTCCTGTTAATAACTACAAGTGACCATTGAACTCCTTGCATGACCTGTAACTAGAAATAAAATGAATCCGACCGGGGGCAAGATCACACTTGCCTGTCCACATAAAGAAAGGGGTTCAGGTCAGCCTCCACCTTCGACCTGCAACACGCAGGCCTACTTTATTCCTAATACACAGTGACTTTCTCCTCTCCCCCACCCTTCCTCCCATCTGTCACCTAAGCCCATCTGTCACGTCTGTGCATTCCCCGCCTCCGGTCCTGCACCCCGTCCCCGGTGCCCTGGGTCTGGGCGGTCGGCTAGAAAGGGTGCTGCCCCATCTGAGAGCTTCCTGCGCAGCGAAACTGTCACCTGCTTGGGTCTCTCCCTCTCACTGTATTTCAGGAGGAAACTTGGGGCTCCGGGAGGCAGAGCCCCAGTCGCCTGCCTCAGTCCTGGGCCATGGGACGCGCGTCCCCCGGGGCCTTGGACCTCCCCCAACAGAGCCCGGTCCAGGAGACCCAGCTGAGAGGGTGTCAGGGTCCGCCAGGCTCCCCTGTCCCCGCTGCTCCCTGTCCCCCCTCCCTCCGTGAGCGAGTCCCTTAGGGCTCTTTGCTCAGTCACCCTTTCGCAGGTTGCTCATCTCGGCTCCAGAGTTTCGCTTTGTGGCGACCACGAGGTTTGCGGGAAACCTCCTGGAGGTAAAACACTCCTTTTCCTGCGGCTCCAAGTTGGAAGTGTTGCTCTTTAACAAGCAAGGCTTTGCATGGGAGGTTCTGCAGCAGTTTTTTTAGGGAGAACTCAGCTATAATTCTTCTAGTAAGTGCTGAGGAACAGCAGGGCATTGTTCACCCAGCCTTCTGGAAAACCAAGGAAAGAGGGGCTGGGCCGGCAGCCACACAGAATGAGAATTAATGAGTGAAAAGCCCTGGAGTCTGGAAGAGCAGACGCCAGGGGGTGCTTTTCTGTGAAAATCGAAGTCTGTGTTTCCGGCCACCTGACCTGTGAAAACACAGAGAGCTGCACGGCCAACCCCGCGGGTGCCCAGGCCACCCTCTCTCTGCCTCTGGTCCTCTCTCGCAGAAAACCTCCCGTTCGGACTGGACAGCGAGCTGCGTCCTGTGGTGCCAACTCACCATTCCCGGGATCACCAGGAATGCCCCGGCTTCTGGAAGTTTCTCCTTCCCTTCCCTTTCACCCAATGACAGGAAAGAACCGAAAATGCCGACGGAACTGTTCACGACGATCGGGGCCGTGAGGGGAGACGTCCGGTTTCCCTGCTGAGGTCTGACTCACACCAGCCAGCAGAGGACTCACTCTCTCCCATTCAGCGGTGCCACATCGGGAGTGCTCAGGTGGACGCAGGGGACAGTTCTGTCCCTCTCAGTGGCTGTTCCCACCAGTTCCCACACTTCAGCTACACTGCATAAGCCCCCAGCACCCCAGGGCGCCAGCGTCTCCCCGCACGATGGGCTGTGGCTCTTGGGGACACACCCCCTTCCTGCTGGCAGAGAGGAGCCACGCGGGGGCCGGAGGTGCTGGGGGTGCCCAGAGCACCCAGGTCTGAGGAGGGGCTGGCCCACAGCTCTGGGGCCTGGGGGGCAGGCAGAGGCCTCGTGACCCCAGATCTGAGTCCAGAAACTCCCCCTTCGCACACTTGGACGTCCTTTCCTCCCTTCGTGGCGGTGGAGCGTGCACGGCGGCACCAAGCACGTTCGCACTGCCATGTGGCTGTCACTGCGTCCCTCCACCAAGCTCGTTGTCCCGCAGCGCTGACCTCTGTCCCCACCAACACGTGCCCCCCGCCTTCCCTGGGCTGCCCCTGGCACCACCTTCCCGTCCCCTCTTTGTGCACTTGACCTGTCCCCTTGGGAGGAACACGCAGCACTTGCCCTGTCTTGAACGCCTGGCCCTCAGGCTCCCGGAGTCTGACACACCCGCTCGGGCAGGGTCTGTGTCCCCCCCACCGCCCCCGCCCCACACACTCTCTCAGCCGGGCCGAGTTGGGACTGGGACTCACAGCAGAGGCAGCCTCAGTGACAGATTGCTGCTGCCCAGCGGCCTCCAGCCAGTGGGGACTGTGGGTCAGAACTGTCCCCTTGGACAGTGCCACACAGGAGCAGAGACTGTGTCCCCTGGGGAAGCCATAGAACCCCAGAGAATATGCTGCCCATGTGGACAGAGAGGCCGGGGAACTGGCTGGCGACGAGGGGGGCAGGAAGTGGAGTTACCCAGACGGTGGCCTTGAGAGTGACAAAAGCAGACAAGCTGTCAGCGGAAGGCCGGGGGCTACCTTGTCCCGACTCGGAGTGGGACAGGTGCC